ATGAAGAGATATGAATATTCAAGTTCACAGCAGGTTGTAATCAAAAGTGCTGAATATTCCATGTTAGAACAGACCACTGGATTTGTCTCTAGATCTTTGTCAATACCTAGTCCCTAATGTCAAATGAAAATAATTTATATCATACATAAACACCTTCGGCCTCTGCTGTGCCCTTTTCACTTATGAAATTTGTCTTCTAGTCATGATATCCAGTGCCTTAAAATGTATTGTAAACATTGTATGTTCTTTAGAAACTGATTCTATTAATTCCCCATTACTCTTGGCTGTTTCTTGGATACAGCTCTGGAGAGAAAGCTGTTTTTTCCTAAGTAGTCACTCAGATTTGGTAAATAACCATCCTCACACTCATTTCTCTGTTTTCTCTAGGCCATATTAATAACCTTTATAATACAGTGTTCTGGATGCTTGTGCAGCGAGGTGGTTTGACACCAGTGCAAGCACAGGAGAGGCTCCGGGTAAGAGTCTGCAGAAGTCGTGGGTTTTTACAGCTAAAAATTAAATCATAAGATTTGCAAAGTGTCTTGCCTGCCCAGCAGCCCTGGCTTGTCTGTTCTTACTGTAATAATTTTGTGGGTGTAATCAACAACTTCTTCAGTTGTGCAGATATTAATGCCACTAGCAAATAATGTAATTTTGGTCAATTATTAGCAGGGTTTACGTTTTTAGTTAACAATTTCAGAAGTCTTAGAAATGTCATAAAATGTTCAGCATCCAAACCCATGAGGAATAGTGGCAGAATTCAGGTTCTGTTCATTGCCAGTCCCTTCTGTTGTGTTTTGTCTCCTTGCACAGACTTTAGCAGATTATTCCTGTTTTCTTCTGGAATTTGTTGACTGTCTTCCATTTGTCTTGAAAATGTAATAAGAACCCTCTCAGTTTTAATACTCATTTGGCAGTTGGAGTTAATTCCTCTGTTGAGAGAAGCAATTTAACCTTGTGACTTAAAGGTGAAAAACCTTTACGAATGTCTGTCTTGCTTCCAGTATTGACCCCTCCTCTATCCTAGAAATACAATTTGTTTGTTTTCTCTAAGAGTATTTTCTTTTCCTCTCCTCTCAGGGAACTTTGGCTGGAGATAAGAATGAAATCTTATTTTCTGAATTCAACATCAACTACAACAATGAACCTTTGATGTATAGAAAAGGAACTGTCCTAATATGGCAGAAGGTAAAAAAAACCCTATTGCCACTTGCTTTGGGCTGATATTTTAAATAGTTACACTGTGGCAGACAGACTGCACTGTAAGAGCACCACATGTATCTCTAGTGTATGTCTAGGAATAAATATATCTTAAAATTAACCATATTTGCCATGTAATTGTGTGTAAGATGACTCATTGTTTTGGAGATGTTTTTAAAAGCTGTTTCTATGAGCATAATATAAAAACCAGTCTCTGCAGTCTGGCTTCGATACAAATTATGACCACTGAGATGAAACATGTATCAGCAGATGACAATGTTTGTATCACTGGGGCCAGGCCCTTCCCAGGATTAGGTCCTAAGTATATCCATGGCAAAGGATTTACAAACTTCTGTTCAATAAAGTGGCTCAGCTCATAGTTGGTTTAGTGCTTTTCTGTTTTAAGGTAACTTGGAAATAGTCATTTTTCTATGATTGCATCATTGATTTAGTGGGAGAAATTCCTGCCCTGTGTTTTTTTATTAAATTCTTTTTTATTAGAATTTTTGAATCCACTCTGGAGCCTTTTATATCTGCTAATGTGTCCACTGTATTTTCAGATTAATGAAGTTACCACTAAGAAAATAAAACTGCCAAAGGAAGACGAAGAAAAAGAAGTGGAAGTGACCCGGACTAAGACTAAAGTTGTCCCCCTGCACTGTGACATCATTGGGGACCAGTTCTGGGAGGAATATCCTGAGATTCTGGCTGAGGATAGTTGATATCTCTGATGAGCATAACTGGTAGTTTACTTTCTGCTCTGCTTGGGTTGTTGGCAAGTGAGGAGTACGAATGGTGGCTGGCAGGGTTTGACCTGGAGCCCTTTTCAGCAACTACAATGGGTTCAGCACTGGTGCTGCCTAAAAAGAAGAAGATACTGGTGCTGACATACAAGGATATGCCCATATGGAATGCTAAAATCATACTATATTTTGAATGTTAAAAACTCATCATGAATTAAGGACTGTTCCTGCCTTGTACATGTGTATTTGTAAAAAAAGTATGTAGAAATTTCCTGTATTTCTATAGCATTTAAACAATGAGGTATTTTACTGTAGTGCTGAACTATAAAAAAGCCCGAATATTTGAACAGAAAATTATTAGTTTGATTTTTATTTCCAGCTGAGATGGACCAGAATACTTCATTTGGGATTTAGTATTAAATTTCAAGGCTGGTGTGTTTAGTCAAATGAGTGACAGACAGTTCACCTGCCTGATGTCTGATTCTTACTGAAGAATCAGGCAATGGAGTAGCCCAAAAGTTTTCTATGCTCGATTTTAAAAGTATTTGTCAAATGTACAGGATTTTTATACTTTTAAAAAATATAAATAATAGTACCTTCCCTGCTGTGTTTTATTATGTGGCCTTTCTCATTCCTGGGATTTGAACTAGTAAGTGGTGACAGTTCCAAGCACTGAAGTTAATAATAAAGATATTGCACAGGTTGGAATTCTGCTAGAACATGGATAGATGTCTTCCCTCATATGCCATGGCCTGGGAATTCACCTGTCTCCTATTATGCACAACACAGCATATTTAAAAAAAATTACAGCACAACATAGCAAAATATTCCAGGTGCCTGCAAAGAGGGAGCCAACAACAATTTCTGCTGCTGCTTTCTGATTTCCCTGGGAATGACACAGACAGCAGTGCTGCCAATCCATGTTTGTTAGAGGGAAGGGAGGAGTGTGTGTTGTCTGCTCCATGCACAGTTCTGTTCTGCTTTAACTGTCACTTAAGACCCTTTGTCAAAATTGACCTCTCAGAGCAGAAATATTTCTGCTAATGGACAGAGGTTTGTCCCAGTGTAACTGGAATTTGAGGGAAATAACCTATTTTAGTGTAGAAATACAGTTATAATGATGGGTGTTTATATGGCTATTACTGCTTCTAACCAAGCTGGTTGTAAGAACATCCTGAACAGTAACTGGGCCAGTTGTTGCTAACACAGACATGGGCAGCAGTTGGGACTGGCCATAAAAAATAGAAAGAAAGAATCAAGTGTGTACTGGTCACAGTACTGAGTTAGATTCCTGTGAATTCTCTTATCAGCCTACTCTGTTTCCTCTTCCTGCAGAAAAACTTACACATTTAAGGCAATGTGGTTTTTATGTGTTTTTTTTTTTCAAAAAGAACCCTGACCAGGTGCCAGTAAACTTCAATTTTGTGAATTCTTCCTGAGATTAGGCAATGAGTCTGTGAGCTTATAATAGCACAGGACTTCCCCCCTACTTCTCTGTACTGATTAAGTACATGCAATGAGAGAATGTATTTTGTTTTTAGTTTGTAGAATGGGCTACATGATTCCTAGGAAGAGGGTGTGGCTTGATGGTCAGCTAATGACTCAGAATGAATAATTGCACCAGTTATTTGCTTCTAAGAACTTTGTTGGTTTTTTTATCTTCTAACATAAATGCAATTTACCTGACTTTGAAATTCCATGTTACTGCTTGGTGCCTGACTTTGGACATCACATACAAAGCAGCTGTTCCAGAACTGGTAACAGCTGGATTTACTCAGCCTGGTAACAAATGAAAGATTAAAAAATAATTTGGCAGCCATGATTTATGTTTGGAAAGTATAATATACGTTTTTTATTTTATATATTATGGCTGCCTGGTACATCCTGCAGTATCTTTTTGTATGTACATTGTGTGTGTATATAAAAAACAGGTCTGTATTAGGTCATGGTGTTTTTTAATTAACTCATTCTTACAATAATATGTAACAAGTCAACATAGCTGTTCACATATGGATGCAGACTTTGGAACCAAGATCAGGATTATCTGTACAACCATGGCCTTTAATTTATATTAAGATAAATGGTTCCAGCAGCAGCCTGGTGTTGGTGGCACACACAACACATGGGTATTTCTGTAGCTGCAGGAGCCCTGTACTGTGACCCAGTGAAGAAAGAGGTGTTTCTCTGAAGCAGGTGAACAACCTGTGGCTGATGTATTGCCGTAACAAGAAGCATTAAAGGTACGGGAACCCGTTATGAAACATTAATGGAGATGGTGAATCATTATAGTAAAACCTATAAAAAGCCTTTCCTTGCTGTTCCTCAGTGAAATTACTCTGCCCTGTGTATCCTTTTGTGCATTAAAGTGCAAATTACATTGCAACTGCCAGTTGCCCAGGTGGATTTCATGGCCTGGGCCGGGGGGGTTTGGTGCCCCATCCAGGGATGGTCCCCAGAGCGGGCTGCAGGGGGAGGGTTGCACTAGTGGGAGGTAACTGCAAACAATCACAGATTTGTCAGGGTTGGAAGGGACTTCTAGAGATCATCCAGCCGAACCACCCTGCCAGAGTGGGACACCTGGAGCAGCTTATCCAGGAACGTGTTCAGGTGGGTCTGGGATGCCTCCAGAGAGGGACACTCCACGCCCAGACAGCTGTTCCAGTGCTCTGCCACCCTCAACATGAAGAAGTTCTTCCTCATTTTGAGGTGAAATTTCTTGTGGTTTTGTTTGTGTGCACTGCTCCTCGGCAAGTCACCGTTAAGAGTTCAGCACCATCCTTTTGATACCCTTCTTTGAGTCTTTTCGGCTAAGCAGGCCCAGCTCCCGCAGTGTCTCATAAAAGAGAGATGCTCCAGACCCTTCACCGTCATTGCGGCCTTTGCTGGACGCTCTCCGGTGCCGGGTGCAGCAGGGACGTGTCCCTGCTCCCGGCGCTCCCTCACGGCACCCCCGGCTCCCTCCCGCCCATGGCGGCCGCTCCGCCCTCAGGCCCGGGGCGTTGAGCGGCAGCGTCCCCTGGCGGCGGCCCTGGGCGGTGCGGCCGGCCGCAGCCCGGCATGGAGGAGGACGAGGCGGGCGCGGCGAGCGCGGAGCCGCGGGGCTCCCGCCGCCGCTCGCCCAGCCCTGGCCGCCTGGATGTGAGCTCCAGCCGCTTCGACCCGCTGCTGGCGCTCTACTCGCCGCGCACGCCGCTGCCCTTCCCCGCCGCGCCCTGCTTCAACAACCTCGCCGAGTACGAGAGCTTCCAGCGCGGCCTGCGCCGCCCGCACGGCCGCCGCGGTGCCCCCGCCAGCCGCGGTGCCCCCGCCGCCCGCGCGTCCCGCCGGGGCCCGCCCGCTCCCGACCCCGAGCGCATCCAGCGCCTCCGCAGCCTCATGGTGAACGCGGACCCCGAGCAGGAGGCGGCTGAAGGCGGAACGGCGAGGCGGCGGCGGCGGGCACCGCGCAATGTCCTCACCAGGATGCCCCGTAAGGGCGCGGGCAGCGCGGCCCCGGGCTGGGCGGGCGCAGGGAGCCGGGGCTGAGGGGAGGCGGAGGGTGTGAGGGCCCATGCTGGGCTGGGCCGGGCCGGCGCGGAGTTGCGGTGGAGTTTGGGGGTGAGGAGGGAGCGATGGCTGGCGGAAGCGGTTGGGTGACAGTGGGGTGTGGGGGATGAATGATTAATTTTGATGGGAAGTGACAAATGATCTATTTTGATGGGGTGCAGAGGCGCTGGCGCAGGTTGCTCAGAGAAGCTGTGGCTGCCCCATCCCTGGAAGTGTCCAAGGCCGGTTTGGATGGGGCTTGGAGCACCCTGGGATAGTGGAAGGTGTCCCTGCAGGTGGTGGGGGGATTGGAACAAGATGGGCTTTTAGGTTTTTCCCAACTGAGACCATTCCGTGATTCTCTGAAATGGTGTGCAGGAATGAGGAACAGCATTTCACAGAGCTGCTCACGCAGAGATGACACTGACTTTGTTGCGGTGATGTTCTCCTCTGTTAATTGGTGAATTATTACATCCTCTTGGTTTTAAGGAGAAAAAGGATGAGACAGTGCTATATTCTCAAAAGTACTATTTTAAACCATGTTTGGACTAGTCCAGGATGTAGTTAAACCATAACCACAGGGAAAGTCTGTAACACACTGCTGTTGCTTGGTTGCTAACCAAACATCCTGCAGGCAGAAATACTGGCATTTCTGATAACAGGATGGCAGAGCAGTGGATTGAGGTGAGAGGCAGCTGTGATGTAAATTTAAATTCATCAGCTGTGATGATGATACATATTTCTTGTAAAAATGCTCTGTGTGCAGTCAGGGTAAACATTGCCTAAACATGAAGAGGTGCTACTTGTGCCCCCACACCAAGAATCAAATGGCATTGCTGTCAGGTGAGATGTAGCTTTAGGCACTTAGTTAAAAATACTGGGGTTCATTTTGGAATCAGATTATCTTTGCACCATCACCTTAATTTTTACCTTTTTTTCTAAAAAGGCAAAGCCCAAAATGTTTGATTTTGAATGCCCAGGGCAAAACCTTTTTCTTGCTGAGACACTATATAGATGCTGCATGATCTTAAGTATCACACTTATTGTTCTGCACAAATGCAGAAGTTCTGTTGGCCCAGGATTTCCAGAAAACTGACCTTAAATGTTGATTTCAGATCTTAATTAAAAATATCTCAGTATTTGCACTGGTGATGAAAATTGAGAAAAGAAAAAACCACTGTAAAAATTAAGAACAATTAAGAACACATATTTAATATCCACACATCCATGTCTGGGCTTCAAAGAAGACTGGCACAACTGATACAGAAAGTGCTATTCAGCAGCCTGGAGTGTTTTGTGAGTGATTTATAGCCAAAGTTGTGTGCTTTCCCTGTAACTGGGGGATATCTGCACCACAGGTGTTTGGAACTTGGACTGTGTGGATCAGTTCAGGAGGAGTTATTTATCATCACTTTGCATGCACCAAGGGGCAGAGAATTCATGTGCAGGGCAGGTGGAAAGGTGTTTGACGTGTTTTGAGTTTTTTCAGCTTTTCTCTTGAGGTTTTTCTAATCCTGCTTCTTAATAGAGTCTGCCTTGAGGACAAAGACTTGAACTTAACCAGACTTTAGATCTTTATTTTCACCCTTTTGGGGTGCTTGCCCTCTGCTTATAGTAGTTTTGGAGTAATTTTTCAGAGTCCTGCTATTAAGCATGTGCTTATTTTATCCAGGTAAGGGTTGGATTTTGAGAACCAACTTGGTAACTTTTTTCCCTGCCTGTTGAAACATTGTTCATGCTGGCCCCTAACAACAGAGAAAGCATTGGCAGATTTAGTTGTGTGCAGAGCCTGCTCATTATAGCCCTTGCTGCTTGCAGAGGAGGTGTGTTCCAAAAATAAATGCCTTGCATTGCTGGTTTTATTTTTTCTGAGAATATCAGGTTGTTGAAGGGTTTCTGGATGATGTGTTCTGCCCTTTTGCTCAGATGAAGCTGGAAGTTTGCCATGGAGGAGCCAGAACCTTACACAGAAGGGAAAGTGGGTAGAGTGTAGATTTGGTGGAGCTCTGTAGTGTTTTCCTGGGTGATGAGAGACAGAGGCATAGTTGAAAATAAGGGTTAGATGTAGATAAGAGTTCCTACTTAAAATGGAATATTGGTACTTAAAATCTAAAAATAAGTCTGGATTTTAAATTATTATGTAAGTTCTCAGGGTTGGTTAGAAAAAATACTGTTTTCTGATTGGAAGCATTAATTTGATATCGTGATGGGGTCATCTGTGGTTCCTGTGATGGATCTGTCAATCCAGAACATGTTTGTTATCAGCTCAGCTGAAGGAGACACAGAGGCTCAGGGAAAGACCCCCTAAGCAAGGCTGGGAGGTGCTGAGACAGCTTATGCTCTGTGTGAAACCAATTTCCTGCAGTTATCCAGCTGGAGAGGGCTGGCAAGAAGACAATGGATCTCAAAAAATAAATGTGATTAGGTTAATTCAGAGGAAACTGATGTAGATTTCCCTGCTGTGGCCATGAATTAGCCTGCAGCCCAGTCCTGCAGATCAGCTGTTTTACACAGTCACTTTACACTCACAGGAAGAAATTTCTGGTGTGCAAATCAAACTTTGAATGTACAGTCCATAAAGCACAGGGTGAGAGGTCATCTCTGGCTCCCATGTTTTATTAATGTGGAGAACCATGTGAGATTTTACACCAAGTCTTTTTCCTGACTCCTAGTAGGAATTGTACAGCAAGTGGGTACCAAGGCATGGGTGGAAGTTGTAAATAGTATCTACCCCTCTAGATAAATTACACTTGCAAAGATTTCTGGTGTGAAGACAAGGCTTGTGTAAGACAGGCAAGCTGTATGTTTTACTGAATTCCTTCACTTTTGCTCTGGTTAAAGCATTATTGTCCTGGGCTTTAGCATGGTTTAATTGCTGGCTGCTCCTTAGAGCGATTTTATTTCCTTGCCAGAGGCTTGTAGGACTTTGATGGATGTTCATCTGGCTGCTGAAATCTTAACTGAAACAATGCATTTTCATCAGTTTAAACTGGTCCAGTTTAGTAAGTTGAAGGATTTTGGTTATTCATTGTTTCAGAGATCCCCTTGTAAAGAAAAGGAACAAATCTGCTACAGTTCTCTATTCACAACTCGTAACTAATCTGAGGTAGCCTTAACCAGGCATTTGTCTTTTCTGTGGAACTAACAGAGCTTTTTGTGAGCTTTCTGTTCCCTCTCAACCACTTTTATTTACAGTTTGGATTACTTGGCATGTTTTTGAAATGTAGCAAAAAGATTTTCAGCTAAGGCTGATTTGGCTGTGGGCTATGTAAAGCAAAACCTTCATATTTTCTGGTCTTGGCTCTCCCCATTGTAAGAAGAGTTTTGGTGGTCTGGTAATGGCAATCACAGTGTGCTACAGTGCTTGGGGCTTCTTCATTGCTATTGTTGAGAATACAAGTGTTGTGCCAAGCTCTGGCATACTTGTACATAGAGTGGATTTCTACATGGTTTTTAGATAGATACTGAAGAGAGAATTTTTACAAAAATACATAGTGACAGGAAAAGTGGGAGTAGCTTCAAACTGAAAAAAAAGTAGGTTTAGTATAGATATTAGAGAGAAATTCCTGGCTGTGGGAGTGGTGAGGCCCTGGCACAGATTGTCCAGAGAAGCTGTGGCTGCCCCAACCCTGCAAGTGTTCAAGGCCAGGCTGGATGTGGCTCTGAGCAACCTTGGTCTAGTGGAAGCTGTTTCTGCCTGTGGGAGGGAGTTGAAAGAAGATGATTTTTAATCAGTCATTCCAATCAATCATTCCAGGCTGTTCTACAGTTGTGTTCTGTGGTTCTGTGTGTTTTGGTGATGTTCTCTTTCTGTTCTAGTCCATGAAGGCAGCCCACTGGGGGAGCTCCATCGCTGTGTCCGGGACGGTGTCAGAATTAACGTCCACATCCGCACTTTCAAGGGCCTTCGTGGAGTCTGCACAGGCTTTTTGGTTGCATTTGACAAATTCTGGAATATGGTAATTATTGTTCCAGCCCTTGATTTGTAACTGTTATATTAAAAATTGAAATTTGCATCAGGTTTAAGCAAATGACATATGGGGAAGGTTAATGTGGTTTTGTGGTTCACAAAATTTGCTCTGGTACCAAGTGCTGGGTTTCAGGCACAAGTGGTACTTGGTGTTGGATGGGTACATCTGGGAGGTGCCCAACCATCTTAGAGAGGTTTTAGTGAGAGAGAAGCTTTGAAGAGTTCCCAACATCTTCAGAGTTTTGTATAAGAACACAGGAAGGTGGAATATGAGGAATATCGGAAGCTTCCAGAGTTTTCTTTCTCTGCAAAACCCAGTCTTTGTATAGTGGTGGGTGCTTCTGTGTTTTCTCCCACTGACATCACTGAGCTGCCAGTGACAAAAGCTTTTCCCTGTTTTCTACCTTGTGAAGATCTTAAAGACAGTAGATGGAAAAGCAGCTATTAAATATTCGTGAGCCTGGAGGTGTGAAAAGTTTGGAAGTGGGGAGGAGGGAAGGATTTTGCAGGCAAGAATCACAGAGATTTTGCAAATAATGCAGAATGAACTTTGCTGCTGCTTTTATGCTTCAGTACAATTTAGATGATTAACAAACCAGCTCCAAAGCACAGCTTGTTGCTGGGATGGATATTCTCTCAGAACATAATTTCATAATGCTTTGACACAAAGCTGGTCCAAAGCTGCTTCATGTTTTATTTGAATTTCAATCTTTCTGTTTCTTTTATCTTTTTTAGGCCCTGACAGATGTGGATGAGACTTACAGGAAACCAGTAATGGGCAAAGCCTTCTATGCAGAACCTCAGCTCTCACTGACCCGAGTAGGTGACATCTGCTGTTTTCTTTCTTATTAGGATCTTCTTTTTTAAAGTAATAAAAGGGGTGCATTGATTTGGAACCCATGTTTGCATTTGAAATATTTTACCTCCTTTTATTACAGATGACTCTAAAATAACATGAACTGAGCAAAAAAATCCCCAAAATGTTTTCTGATCTATCTGAAAGTACTTTAGTAGTTCAGTGTTCCTAAAGCTCCACTTTAGAATCAGATCAGAATTGTTGCCACTGCTTAATGTAGCAAGCTGAACTTCTAGAAGCTCACTCTGTGGGTTTTGATGTGGGATTTGTTGTGTGTTTTTTGCACCATGGACTGATCAGGTCCATGTTTATCTTGCCAGGGAATGTGGCAGAGCATCCCTCTGCTACTGAATTCCTCATGGCACAGTCTGTGTCTGCAGCCACAGAAACAACACAGCTCTTTGGTCACTTGAGCTTCCAGTCTGGGTACTGTGGAGCCCAAGATCTCCAAAGCTCTCCACTCTCTAGGATCCAGCTGCAAATAGAGTTGTTTACCACGATGACAACTGAAGAGATGATAGATGAACCTCTGAACAATGAAGGGAAAAAAAATGTAACAGGGCAGTGCCCATTGAATGGCAACAGCTCCAGGCCTTTTGAACATCAGAGAAGCATCACAAAAACATTTAAAATGTTTCATTGTGAGGAGTTTGCTTTCAAATTCCTGCCATTTAAATCTGTTTTCTGGTAGATCCCACCCTTCCTTCTTTTAAAGATTAGTTAAAAATAATCAAGTTGTCATTGTTCCTTTAGCTCACTCTCACAGCCATTGGCTTTCCACCCTGTTGCTGGGAAGAGAGAGGCTAACCAAAAATCTCATTTTTCATTATTTCATAAAAGCTTGTCTGCTGCCAGAGCAAAAGCAATTTCTTTTCCAGTTTCAGCACCATGTGTTCTTAGATTAATGAGTTCATACAGTGCTTTGGGTCTGCTGCTGTAGCTTTTATTATTTTTCTGTTGTTTGTGATCTGCTCACCTCCCGGAATACCCACACGTCATCTTTTACTTTGTTTTGGGGAACACAAAAGATCCCTCCATTTTTCAGTGTACAGATTCTGCTAATAGAGACCCCTTATCTTAGGGATTCATGATACAAGGATGGAAATCTCTCTAAAACTGTCTGACAATATTAAAAGAAAAGTGAGCTGTCGGAGCAACTTGGTATCTCTGTTTCTCCTGACCAAAGTTAAAGGCTACCACACAGCAGTGTTGCTCCTGAAATTAAATTCCTTGGTGCTCACATTAAGACAGTCATGACCATGCAAGAGGCTCATTCATCTTCTGTCACTGTTTGACTTTGGTAAGCAAACATGGCCTTTATTGCTGGTGGAGATTTGTCACCGTGTCTTGTGAGCTGCTTTGGGATTGTACATGAAAATACAATGTAGAAGTGTGGAACAAGTGGCCTGTGTTGTTTTACGAGTGTGGTCATAGACACAACTGTCCTTTTGCAGCTGTTTGACAGACTCAAGCTGCAGGAATCCTCGGGGAAGAAGGGAGCTGACTCAAAGACTGTCTCAAAGGAGCTGGCCTTGACAAATGACTCTCAGATGCTGAGTTTGAAGGCTGGATCTGGACGAGGGAGAGCAGAAGAGGAGCGTGAGAGGCAGAAACACTTGAGCAGAGCTGGAGAGAAGAAGACTCCAGGTGACAGAAGTGAAGCTGATGTGGGCAGCAGGACTGCCCACCCCGAGGGGGCCCAAGCGAGGAGCCGGCCCCGCCGGAGGCGGCGGCCCAAGGTGGATTATCAGCAGGTGTTCACCCGCCACATAAACCAGATCTTTATTCGAGGAGAGAATGTCTTGCTTGTCCATTTAGCACATTGACTTGGCTGAGCCTTTGGCAGAGTATTTATTTGATAGCATGACTTGCTGCTGCAGCTCCCATTGCTATTTAGAGTTGTCATTGAGTAGGATGGTACCGTGGCTGGTTTCCCATTGCCACCTCAAGGCAGGGGAATGAATTGTAACTTGAGCATCCTGGGCTTGATGCCAAAGCAGCCTCCTTAGATCACTGTTGGGGGTCTTAGGAGAAGGTCAGCAACACAGTTGTTTCTGTGATATGAGGGAGTTAAGCACAGATCCCACTGTTTCTTAAAAAGAAGATAAAGGGAGAGGGTTATAAGAGAATTTTGGTGTACTGTTACAGGAACTACTTGTGGCACACATTTAAGGATAAGATCTGGACCTGCAATAAATCAGAAATGCTCTTTTGCACATTCTTAGTAATATCAAGGGGAAATTGCTAATGAAACCAACAGTTTATCTGCTGCTGTTACATGGATGTCCTCTTTTCCAGATATAATTTTGACAGTCATTTTGAAATAGTTTATAAAACAGTGGAGTCACATCCTGCTGATGGCTACTGGCCTCTTTGCCATAGTTAGCTCTGTAATGCTCTGTGTGATAGAAAACCTCTTAATTGTAAAGTATTCTTTTGATGTGGGTGATGGCAGGACTGTAAATTGTTTCCAGTATCAAAGCTTAGGCTCTCTTTGTAATGCTGTGCTTTGGCCCTGTGTCACCAGCAAGCAGATGATGTAGCTGACTCAGAGACCTCCCTGTTTGGAGTTTATTGTGGGTGAGGATGGAAAATTATCCTTTTATATTTCGCCCACTTGGTACTTAGTGTAAGAGTGAAGCTGGCAAAGATTGGGTTTTTCTCAGGTGTGTTTGTGCTGAGCACACCTGTCCTGTATTTAAACACCTTTCAGGCTCCCTGTATTGAAACCAGAGCTGCTGTGTCTCCAGCAGCTCTCATGGAGCAGGAATCTTCATGGGTCTTTCCTGTCCATGTGAGGGATGCATCATCTAATTCCAGTTGAGCTTTGGAGATGTGCCTGAAAAGGTTCTGAATTATAGAAGTCAAAAAAACTCAACTCATCAGTGTTTCATTTTAGCAAGGCTGTTGAATTAATGCAGCTCAGACCAGGGTTCTTCAGGTATAAACTGCTTTCCAAAAAACCTACCTGCAGAAGTTTGAGGGTAAATGAAGCTGTTCCATTATGTAGCCTGTTCCTTTTGTTGTCAAAAGAGATTTCATGCTGCTATTCTGTATTCATCCCAACTGCCTTGTGCTTTGCAGCAGCTCTGTGTGTTTAAGCTGAAGTTGGGAAATTGCTTTGTAGCAGGACTGACATTACATATAGATGCCCTGAGTTCTCAAACTGAGTGGCTGTACTGTGGGTGACATGGATTTCTGTTGCTGCAGATGCAGCATTCTGCTTGCTTGGTCGTTAGGGATATGTCTGGTGTTTGGGTGAATCACAGAAATCATCTAGCAGGCATTCTGGACACACAAAGCAGCTGTTTGCCTCTGGGGGAGCTTGAAACTTATGTCAACATTTCATATGACATGGGGCTTGATGAGCTCAGCCACTGAGCTCAAAGCCAAGTTCAGCCTGGGACAGAATAAAAAGTACTGTCAAGGCAAAATAATTTCATCAAGGGAGAAAAAGAAAAGAAAAAAATTTAAATACTCTCTGCAGCTTCTTCTGAAACATTGCTTTACTGCTGTAATCCCATCCCTCTGTGAACTGAGACTAGGCACTGAAAAGATTCTTCTCATGGAGGTTCTTGTTTCCCCTTCCTTCTTTACTCTTCATGTTTCTGTCCATGTACTCTGTAGTTTTCCCCTTTTTTTCTTCTTTTTTTTTTTCCTCTTTCTCCTGTCAGTACTTTGTCTCCTCAGGACATTGTAAACTCTGGTTTACAAAGACTATTCTTGTTGTCCTGGCTTTCTGCACCCTTTCCTGGTTGGCTTTCTATGTACTAACCAGAACCCTCACAAATTACTAGAAACATGTGAAGCTAGAAACAAGGTGCTTATCTCTGCTCCTGACTTCCCAGCAGCTTTTATTGCAAGTGAATATTTTCTTCCTTATGGCTGTGGGGATTTTCCTCTCTGTTTTCTGGCAGCTTTGTTCTTATTTCAGCTGCTTGGGATGGCTCCTCTCTGCCTTTTCTATTAGTACCAAAGGCCACTGGTTCTGACCTCTCCTCTTTCTTTCATATTTGACCAAAGGGTGTCAGATCACCCTCAAGCTGACATACAGTGACAGCTCATTGAATTCCTCCTTTTCTTCACCTCATATTTTTACATCTGTTTGTCTGCCTAGTTTATGCCTTGTGCATTAACTAAGATACAACTACCATGAATGTTTTTGTGGCTGTGCTGCCTTTCCTGTTGATTGACACTTGCCCAAGTTCTCAGTTGCTGCTGGAAGTCTCAATGTTTCCTTTCATAATGGGTTTTTCCCTGAAACCTTACAGATGTTTGTTGCTTCACATCTACAAGTTTCTTTGTTTACATTTTATGAAAAGTGCTGGTGCTTAGACTTAAGTTTGTGCCTTGATTTTTATATCATCCCTGACCTGTTCTTCCACAATCATCACCTTGGTGAGCAAACCTGGTTAAGGATTATAGTTTATCTACTTTTTTTGCACTACCTCATTCCTCATTGTTAAAACATTCCTCCTCTTATCTGTGAAGGTGGTTAAACTGCTCCCTTCAATTTAGATTTAATGAATTATTTGTTGGTTCTTCATTTGTATGCTACTTTCCTGTCCACCTTTCTCATTATTTCCAAACTGCTTCCTAAATACTGCTGCTTCCTCTTCTACAACTTCAGATCTTCCAAAATGTCTTCCTTTTCCCACTTTTTCTGGCATTGTGTATTTTTAAAATGCATTATTCAAATGCTTTCTTATGGATTTTGTCTCTTTCAAGCATCGTGATTGTGATGAAGCAAGTGATCCTGTAGGTGTGTTGTCACTTGCTTGTTCAATACTTCAGATAACATTGCTCTTTAAATAAAATTGAATGTCATGTTCTGAAATGGGTTCTTCTACCTCACTGAAGTATTCTCCTAAATCTGTTTAAAAAAAGAAAAAGAAAACAACCTTTGGAACCAAATGAGCTTGGGTTTCAGTGTTTTTTAAAATTGCTTCTGGTTGTTTCTTTCTATGGTTTTCCTTTTCCAAACTCAACATAAAATTTTTTGTTCAAAAAGTGTTTTGCTCCCAGCCCTTCCTCTCTTGCTGCACTGATGCTGTGGGCATGAACACACCAAAGTCTTTGTGCTAAGGAATGAAGAGTAGGAAACAGAGCAACGTGAGGGTGAAAAAGCTTTGGGCAGATATGAAAACCTCCCCAGAAAGGATCCACAGGTGCCACCTGTCCTGTATTTCTGGGACTTTGCTCAGCCTGGTGCTCAGCAGTGGTTCTTAAAGTGTGTTTGGGGTGAGGCACCCAGTTACTGCAGGGAGCAGTTTTCTGCAATAACTTCAAAGAAGCGTTGGGATAATTTGAAGAAGTTTTAAAATATTTTCTCATTTCTGGGATTATTTCTTAGGAAATCTTTTTGCACAGGTGCTTCATTTTTATCAAACACTCCTTAGGCTGTGGTTGTAGAAAAGGTAAGGCCAAAGGGGGAAAAAAGCTTATAAAAAAGTGTGGTTTTGGTTCCTATTCTCAACTCACTGGTCCAGCTTGTTAATTGCCTGGAAGGGTTTTTCTGACCTAGAGCAAAGTACTTAGCATGTCCTCTGCAGGTGATTACTGAATTAATCAGTGAGTGCTGTTTTCCATCTGCTTCTTCTCCTTCAGTGTTTGGATTCACTGTTTCCTCTGCAGCATTCCCTCAGCAGGGCAGTGTCTCAGCAGGAACAGGCCTGAGTGCCCACTGGTTTTTACCCTTCCCTAAGGAATGTTAGCCCATCCAGTTTTGAATTCAAAGAGCCTTTGGCTCTTCTTCATTTTCATACTGTTCTCTTTAGATTTTTCAAATTATTTGGTCAGAAGAATTATTTATCTTGGATAATATTACTTTTTGGAGTAAACTGATTTTTTGACACTTTTAAAAAATAACTTTTTTACTTATTTTCCTTCACAAAGTGCTAGGTTTTCCTAGTTTGTTGTTGCCCTCACCCACTTGCACCTGTGAATCACTGGGTGAAGAGATGTGCAGGATAAAAAGAGGCAGAGTAAAAAGGTGTGTAATTTTTATTGAATTTGACATTCTATCCAACATTCTGCCCACACTCAGCCTTCTGTTTCTTACTGGCACTGACCTAAGTGAGACAGGTGTAAATGATTTGATCCAGAATCTTGAAGGAAAATGGAGCAGGGACAGCAGACTGAAAATACTGAGTTTATGAAGATGTTTATTTCCAGGTAAACTTCCTGTCTTTGATTAAACAGATCAGAGTTGTAAGCACCAACTTACACTGCAAGCTCTGCCTCTGGATAAAACTGGAAGGCAGAGTCCTGCAGCTTTCCAGAGGTGATGCAGTGATTCCCTCAGCCAGGACAGCTCTTGCCTGAGAAGCTGCTCAGGTATATGCCAGTGTCTGCCTCAGAGCCTAACTGCAAATACTGCCAATTAATACGAGGATTTTTTCTCTCCTGCCTGCACTGCCAAGTGTAAAATATGAATGCTGAGGTCTGCAGCATCTGCAGCCCAGAACTACTTCAGTTCATGCTTTTGCTTCTTGACATTGGCTTAAAAATTCAAGTTTGTGCTAATGGCAATCCTAAGACAGTCTGTTAGAACATTAGGAAAGGCTGCTGCTGACTAGAAATAATAGTGGAAAAGTAAGTTTTTACAGAATTTGTGACATTGTGATTGTAATTAGTATTGCAAACCAGGAAAAGCTGAGAGAGTTGGGATTGCTCAGTCTGGAGAAGAGAAGCTTTGGGTGACCTAATTGCAGCCTTTGAGTACCTGAAGGGAGCTTACAAGAAAGATGGAGAGAGGCTCAATAAGGGCCTGGAGTGCCAGGACAAGGGGGAATGGCTTCACACTGACAGAGAGTAGTGATAGGTGGGATATTGGGCAAAGACAAAGGAGGGGACAGGAATTACTCAGGTGGTGGTAACTCCTTGGCATGGGAAGGGGCTTTCTAACCTGTGCCTTGGGCACAATCCTGCCAGCACTGGGCAGTTGAGCTCTGTAGATGAAGGGGAGGATGCCGAGCCAGCTTTGAGTGCAGTGTCCCTTGTGCTGTGAGCCTTTCACAGCACCTGAACTGCTCCTGGAATCGCTGCCAGGCTCCAGCCCTAATGACTGACATGTTT